TTCAGACACGTTGCTATGAGTCTCGAAATTGAGCTCAGGTGCATCCTGTTTCCATTGATCATCCTTGAGATGTTTCTACAACTTGATTGGAGTCCACCTGTGGTAATAGTAGTCTAAGGCACTGCATCTCAGTGCTTGAGGCGTCACTACAGACCCCCTGGTTCGATTCCAGGCTGTATCACAACCGGGCGGCGCACAATTGGCCCAGCGTCGTCCGGGTTTGGCCGGGGTAGACCGTCATTGTAAATAATAATTTGTTCTTAACTGACTTGCCTAGTTAAATAAAGGTAAAATAAATAAAAGATGAGGGGTGAAAAATGTGGAAAAAGTCAAGGGGTCTGAATACTTTGCGAACACACTGTATATTTGACTGAATGACCAATGTCGTTGTCATACTACTTGTAGCCGTCTACACTCCTTCCATTGGGATCAAAGTCTCTACACACACTACCAGTATGATGTTCCATCTTTAGGAGCAGGAGCCTACAGATCTGGGGTCACATTTCCCAACTCCAACCCTACCATTAGAAGATGACATGATCTGTGCATTGGGGCGAATACTGTGTGCATGCAGTGGAGTCAAGTTACCTGGAGACAATGTGTGATTTCTGTATCAACGAAAAGGGCCACAATTTAGTAATTGCATCACCCCTGTACCCTATCACCCCAGTACTACCCCACCCAGGAACCACTCCCACCCTTCCCCCACATCAGAGGGGTGCAAGGCAAGCAGCACCTGTTCACTGGTAACCTGACTCGCCCTCTGATTCTCCTTTCTGGAAATTACAACCTTGGGGGTTTAGCTGGATTGCCACCGTAAAAAGAAAGTGTATGACTGGTATCTTGTCATTAGAGTCTGTGGAATGCAGAGTTTGGTTTTCGGCAGGCATTACTGGAACCATGTCGTCCAAAAAGTTATACTTTTGAATCATCTGTCCATAGAACGTTCTTCCAAGAGTCTTGATGAACATCCAGGTGCTTTTTGGCAAACTTGAGTCAACTTTCTGGACGAGATGGGTCCCATTATGCCTGGCGAAAACCAAACACTGCATTCCACAGTAAGAACATCATACCAAAGGTCAAGCATGGTGGTGGTGGTGTGATGGTTTGGGGATGCTTTGCTGCCTCAGGACCTGGACGACTTGCCTTAATAGAAGGAACCATGAATTCTGCTCTGTATCAGAGAATTCTACAGGAGAATGTCAGACCATCCGTCTGTGAGCTGAAGCTGAAGCGCATCTGGGTCATGCAGAAAGACAATGATCCAAAACACACAATCAAGTCTACATGAAATTGCTAAAAAGCAACAAATTGGAAGTTTTGGAATGGCCAAGTCAAAGTCCAGACCTAATCCCAATTGAGATGTTGTGTCAGGATTTGAAACGAGCAGTTCATGCTTGAAAACCCACACGTCACTGAGTTAAAGCAGTTCTGCATGGAAGAGTGGGCCAAAGTTCCTCCACAGCGACGTGAGAGACTGATCAACAACTACAGGAAGCATTTGGTTGGAGTCATTGCAGCTAAAGGTGGCACAACCAGTTATTGAGTGTAAGGGGGCAATTACTTTTTCACACAGGGGAATTGGGTGCTGCATAACTTTGTTTATGAAATAAATATGTAATTGTTGTGTTATTTGTTCACTTATGTTCCCTTTATCTAATATTAGGTTTTGGTTGAAGATCTGACAACATTCAGTATAACAAATATGCAAAAGTAGAGAAAATTAGAAAGGGGGCAAATACCTTTTTATAGCACTGCATTCGGAAAGTATTCAGACCCCTTGACTTTTTCCACATTTTGTTACGTTACAGCCTTTTTCTAAAATGGATACAATTGTTTTTTTCCTCATCAATCTACACACAATACCCCACAATGACAAACCAAAATCTGGTTTTTATACATTTTTGCAAATGTATAAAAAACAAAAAGCTGAAATATTACATTTACGTAAGTATTCAGACCCTTTACTCAGTACTTTGTTGAAGCACCTTTGGCAGCGATTCCAGCCTCAAGTCTTCTTGGGTATGACGCTACAAGCTTGGCACACCTGTATTTGGGGATTTTCTCCCATTCTTCTCTGCAGATCCTCTCAAGCGTTGTCAGGTTGGATGGGGAGCATCGCTGCACAGCTATTTTCAGGTCTCAAGGATGATCAATGGAAACTGGATGCACCTGAGCTCAATTTCAAGTCTCATAGTAAAGGTTCTGAATACTTATGTAAATAAGGTATTTCAGTTATTTGTTTATTTCTAAAAACCTGTTTTTGCTTTGTCATTATGAGGCATTGTGTGTAGATTGATGATTTTTTTTTATTTAATCAATTTTAGAATAAGGCTGTAACGTAACAAAATGTGGAAAAAGTCAAGGGGTATGAATACTTTCCCAATGCACTGTATGTGTTGTGTGCACTAGCTATGGTCTCCATCCAATAAAGGGAAACATAATACTACCACAGCCCACACCCTACCGTGTGTAATACAGTATTTCTGATGGTGGGGACTCTTGATAAAGAGAGACTCAATGCAAGTTCAATACAACTACCGGTACCCACCGTTGCCTGAGCTATGCAGAGACATTGACCTTTTTATTTTGCCCATCAAATGGAATTAATAGATGGTCTATACAGTGCAGAACAGGTAGCAGAGTTCCATCCATATGAAACACACACAATAAAAACCCCTCTCAGTTCAACTGCCACATACATCGCTCTCTGATTCTCTTCATAAGTAGCCTCTTTAAATAGCAAGTGGTTATTCACTCAGTAGCACTCAGTTCTGGCTCATAACAAGAGGCGTATTCCTATTTGTCATGCACAATCACCAACCCACATACACACACTGTGAGTTATAAAAGCCTGGACAACCTGAAAACAGAGTATCCCTTGGAATAGGGAATCATCCAATCCTCATGGTTCACAGAAACCAGGAAAAATGACAGAAACCCAGGTCAGGGCAATGGTGCAACAGGGCCATCTTTCATAACTTTGCTTGATTGGTAATGTACAGTTTCTGTGGTCCCCAGTTTCCCTGGGTACAATAAAATCAGTCATTGTCATCTTTTTTACTGTAAACACAAATAGTGATAAAAAAACGGCCCCACTTTTAGCCAATATGGAGAAACTCTATATGAACATCAACCAGAGCACACAGAGCACAGTAGCTAGGTCCCAAATGGCCTATTCCCTATATAGTGCACTAATTTAGACCAGGGCCCGGTTTCCCAATAGCATCTTAAGGCTAAGTTCAACTTAGAACCATAGGATGCTATGGTTCTAACGATGAATTTAGCCCTATGATGCTTTTGGGAAACCTGGCCCTAGTCTAAATTAGTGCACTATGTAGGGAATAGGTTGCCGTTTTGGACGCACAAGTGTGTTCAGTCAACACATAACTGCCCGCTTGAGGCCAGATTAATGTTTATACAGCATCTTTGTTTACACATCTGCCCACAAACACACATTAATTATTCTGGGAAGTGATATCTGCCTGTGAGGGGAGGAGTCTACCTGTTCTATATTTGTGTTGGACTAAACTAATCGTATTGCGGTCACCTTATCTGTGGATATAAATGCATGATTCAACAGTGCACTGTGTAATCTAGTCCTGTTATTTTAGGCCTCATCAGTCTTCCGCATTCCTGGATTCAATTACTACAACTCATAGTAACTTGTAGTTATGCGCAAAAGAGATGGCATTTGAGACCCATTGGGTAAATCCCAATCTAGGGAAACCACATTGTAAAAAAGAAATACACAATCCCTAGTCTGTAATCCACAGCTGGATTAAAAATGTGGTCTGTGATTATGCTTCTGTGCTCCATTGTATAAGCACAGAGAGGAGAGGGATTTATATTCGTACAGCTGTGGACAGTTGGAGAATAATAACTGGAACACTGGCATTTGGACGATGATTTCAATGATTTTCATCATCTGCTGGTGTGATTAATGAGAGGATTCTCAGATTATGTAGATACGGGCTTCCCTATAGCCACTGTAATGGGATTTAATACAGCTCTGAATAAAGACTGTACTGTATGAAGGCAGACAAACTATTATAGCTGATTGAATATTGAATATGGGCCAAGTGGGTTAAAATGTTATAATCCCCAAGGTTATACAGAAACACCTGGCCTTAGCATCACTGTCAAATTGCTTTATAGAAATAACGTTAAAGATCTTTGGTTTCAGTTAATGCAATACAAAAAAGTCAATTTCATGACGCAGGTTCACAGAGGACAGTTCTGGGATGTGAATTTAAATCTTAGATGTTATACTGTCTCCTGGTGGCAAAATCATATACAGAATACACATAAAACTACTATTTATGGACAATATTTCACTTTTTCATTGAAATGGTTAGAAAATAGTTTGTCATGTTACATGCAGAGCCAAATACATTGAGAGTCTTCATTCCTATATATTTTTTATAATACCAGTAAACAATACAAAAATGCACAGTTTGGGTTTAATGTCTTAAAACATACAAAAAGGTATATTTACAAAAGAAAACACATACATTAAATATAAAATACTCATATGGCTGTGTCATTTGTCATGCATCGCTAAGGTAGTACCAATATAAAAAGCTCAGGCTCTTCCTTAGATGCAAATATTAAAATAAGCAGTAAACAAAAAGGTATTTAATTATAGGTTGGACAAATTACGCGCTAAAAAAAATCCTATGCAATCAGGTGAACATCCCTTATTTTCCTTTTGGTTCGGTCATCCATCCACAGGCAGTCAAAAATCACGACGAGTCCATTTCCCAACTGTTCACAATAACCTGGGTTAATATGGCACAACTTAACAAAACATTTTTCAACAGAAAACGAAAAATAGTGTTTCTTATTGGACCATTCAGCCGCTCCCTGTTCCAGTCCATTTTCTACAGTTTTGTGCCTAATGAACACAACCCTGTTCTGAACCCCAGGCACCAGTTCCACTCCAGTTACTCCACTTTCCAAATGGCTATCTTCCCGTCCTCGCGGGCTGCCCCACTCAGGACATAGCGGTCCTCTGCGGAGCACAGTGCCTGGACACAGTCTGTGTGAGCTACCAGCTCCTTCTCCACCGTGTGTCGCTGGGTGTCCACTACGTAGATCTTCCCCCTGGACTTCCCCGAGCTCCGGCCGCGGCCGCCAACCCAGATCTGACAGGACAGGGTAAAAGATGTGATTTTATGACTAATAAGAGACATCTCTGTTTTTAATAAGACATGTTGAATTGACAATGGACAGCATGTCAGAATGCATGATCTACTGTATTATGTAGGCATTATCTACTGTATTATGTAGGCATTAGCTACTGTGTTATGTATGCATTATCTACTGTGTTATGAGTGCATTATCTACTGGGTTATGTGTGCATTATCTACCGGGTTATGAATGCATTATCTACTGTATTATGAATGCATTATCTACTGTATTATGTGTGCATTATCTACTGGGTTATGTATGCATTATCTACTGTATTGTGTATGCATTATCTACTGTATTATGAATGCATTATCTACAGTATTATCTACTGTATTATAAATGCTTTATCTACTGTATTATGTATGCATTATCTACTGTATTATAAATACATTATATACTGTATTATAAATGCATTATCTACTGTATTATGTATGCATTATCTACTGTGTTATGTATGCATTATCTACTGTATTATGTATGCATTATCTACTGTGTTATGAATCCATTATCTACTGTATTATAAATGCTTTATCTACTGTATTATGTATGCATTATCTACTGTATTATGAATCCATTATCTACTGTATTATAAATACATTATATACTGTATTATACATGCATTATCTACTGTATTATGTATGCATTATCTACTGTATTATAAATGCATTATCTACTGTATTATGTATGCATTATCTACTGTATTATGTATAAAAAAAAGCAGAAAAGTGGGAAGGGGAACCAAGGCTGATTTGGACCAATGAATACTTTCACTAGATTCAACTTTCACATAATAGAATACCTAAACACAGTACGAACTGTAAGTAGTGGATCTAGTAGTCCAGTAGAGTACTCAAGCAATGCCCGTTAATGGAAACTACAGTAGAATAGAAACATCTTAATTTTGGGTCTGCAGTGCAGTCTGCAGACAGTCTCACCTGGTTTTTGACCTTGATGATGCAGGTGACGCCTGCACAGTCGGGCAGCTGGATCCTCTGGAAGGGCTTGGTGGGCTCCGCGAGGTGCCACACACACAGCTCCCCTACGTCTATACAGGCCGTCCACAGCTGCTCCTTCTGAACCACATACAGTGGGGGAAAAAAGTATTTAGTCAGCCACCAATTGTGCAAGTTCTCCCACTTAAAAAGATGAGAGAGGCCTGTAATTTTCATCATAGGTACACGTCAACTATGACAGACAAAATGAGGAAAAAAAATCCAGAAAATCACATTGTAGGATTTTTTATGAATTTATTTGCAAATTATGGTGGAAAATAAGTATTTGGTCAATAACAACAGTTTCTCAATACTTTGTTATATACCCTTTGTTGGCAATGACACAGGTCAAACGTTTTCTGTAAGTCTTCACAAGGTTTTCACACACTGTTGCTGGTATTTTGGCCCATTCCTCCATGCAGATCTCCTCTAGAGCAGTGATGTTTTGGGGCTGTCGCTGGGCAACATGGACTTTCAACTCCCTCCAAAGATTTTCTATGGGGTTGAGATCTGGAGACTGGCTAGGCCACTCCAAGACCTTGAAATGCTTCTTACGAAGCCACTCCTTCGTTGCCCGGGCGGTGTGTTTGGGATCATTGTCATGCTGAAAGACCCAGCCACGTTTCATCTTCAATGCCCTTGCTGATGGAAGGAGGTTTTCACTCAAAATCTCACGATACATGGCCCCATTCATTCTTTCCTTTACACGGATCAGTCGTCCTGGTCCCTTTGCAGAAAAACAGCCCCAAAGCATGATGTTTCCACCCCCATGCTTCACAGTAGGTATGGTGTTCTTTGGATGCAACTCAGCATTCTTTGTCCTCCAAACACGACGAGTTGAGTTTTTACCAAAAAGTTCTATTTTGGTTTCATCTGACCATATGACATTCTCCCAATCCTCTTCTGGATCATCCAAATGCACTCTAGCAAACTTCAGACGGGCCTGGACATGTACTGGCTTAAGCAGGGGGACACGTCTGGCACTGCAGGATTTGAGTCCCTGGCGGCGTAGTGTGTTACTGATGGTAGGCTTTGTTACTTTGGTCCCAGCTCTCTGCAGGTCATTCACTAGGTCCCCCCGTGTGGTTCTGGGATTTTTGCTCACCGTTCTTGTGATCATTTTGACCCCACGGGGTGAGATCTTGCGTGGAGCCCCAGATCGAGGGAGATTATCAGTGGTCTTGTATGTCTTCCATTTCCTAATAATTGCTCCCACAGTTGATTTCTTCAAACCAAGCTGCTTACCTATTGCAGATTCAGTCTTCCCAGCCTGGTGCAGGTCTACAATTTTGTTTCTGGTGTCCTTTGACAGCTCTTTGGTGTTGGCCATAGTGGAGTTTGGAGTGTGACTGTTTGAGGTTGTGGACAGGTGTCTTTTATACTGATAACAAGTTCAAACAGGTGCCATTAATACAGGTAACGAGTGGAGGACAGAGGAGCCTCTTAAAGAAGAAGTTACAGGTCTGTGAGAGCCAGAAATCTTGCTTGTTTGTAGGTGACCAAATACTTATTTTCCACCATAATTTGCAAATAAATTCAGTAAAAATCCTACAATGTGATTTTCTGGATTTTTTTTCCTCAATTTGTCTGTCATAGTTGACGTGTACCTATGATGAAAATTACAGGCCTCTCTCATCTTTTTAAGTGGGAGAACTTGCACAATTGGTGGCTGACTAAATAATTGTTTCCCCCACTGTATAGCACACAACACCACTCCATCATCACCCCCATACCATGTCAACGTAGCACAGACTTCACTGATCACAGTAGGAAATATTACAGACTATGTATACAATACATGCAGGGATGGAACATGACACTGGCCAGCCGGGCTAGCAGGCCAGAATTTCTACTAACCCCGGTAACAGTCTGGTCCAAAGTCTGTGCCTTTCAAAAACACAATTTCACTAGCCTGGTAGGTTCTGAAAAGTACTAGCCTCAGCTCGTTTAATTTCTATATTTATACAGACACATAAACCATGACCCACCTCATGGTAGAGAAGGAGGCTGCTGAAGGCAGTGGGGGAGCCACAGAGCTGTTCAGGAAGGGAGATCTTGCGATGCAACGTTCCATTTTTCCACACCTCCATAATGCAGTCTCTGGCACCTGAATGACATAGGAGGAATAACAAGCACAATTATAACAATCAATCTTGTCACATACAGTATTATAAACTGGGTGGTTCGAGCCCTGAAAGCTGATTGTCTGACAGCCGTGGTATATCAGTGGTATACCACGGGTACGACAAAACATTCATATTTACTGCTTTATTTGCCTTGGTAACCAGTTTTTAATAGCAATAAGGCACCTCGGGGATTTGTGTTATATGGCCAATATACCACGGCTAAGGGCTGTGTCCAGGCCCTCCGCGTTGCGTCGTGTGTAAGAACAGCCCTTAGCCGTGCTATATTGGCCATATACCACACCTCCTCTGGCCTTATTGCTTAAGTATAGTATAGCCAGAAGTAATTTTAATCCTTTTAAGTACACTATTTGTATGTTTTTATGTGTACTTACAGCACCATAGTGTTCCATTGCAGAGCTGAACGGACTGGAGGCGGTCGCAGGAGAGCCGGAACTGTTTCCTCACCTGTAGTGTGGACACGTCCCACGTCATCACTGTACCCTCCTCACTGCAGGAGTATGCCACCTTGGGGCTGCAACAGGGAATACATGCACAGGTAAAGACTAATGTTACTGATACCCCAGAGAAGAATCAGCCGGTCTATGTTCAGTATGGCACACAGCAGCAAAACACGGAGCGTTTCTTATACAAGTTCAGATTGTCGCTCCCTGTTTCAGTCCATTTTCTTCCGTTTGGTGCCTAATGAACACAGCCCAGGTATAAATAAAGGATGTCATACATTGTACTTAGAGCTGGGACTGCTCATCGATGCCTTTATCATACGCTCCTAAAAAGAAGGCTCGCTCAATTTCTGGGATATCAGTAGTAGCTGTATGTTTGATGCATGTCAACGTCACACCTCACCTGTATTCCTTGCTGCGCTCCCCTAGGGCCAACCCTGTGACCTCACTGCGGTGGTCCGTCAGCTGCTTGTTACAGGACATGCTGCGGGTGCTCATTATGTAAATGACGGAATCCTGGGAGCCAATCCACACCTGCTGCCGGTCCACTCCCAGCATGCAGTTCTGAAGAAAACAACATAAAATAACATTAGGAAGATACAGACTGTTATTCTGTATAACCTGTGTGGCTCAGATGGTAGAGCAAGGCACTTGCAATGCCAGGGTTGTGGGTTTGATTCCCCCGGGGGACCAGTACAAAAATGTATTCACTCAGTACTGTAAGTCACTCTGGATAAGAGTGTCTGCTAAATGAGAAAAATAGAAATAACCAGACAGGCTGCCCAGAAGCTTTTTTAAGCCATGGAAGCAAGCTTGATTACCACCGGCTTTTCTCAGGTTTGTTCCAATAAGCAAGTGAATACAAGACTTGGAAGTGTGGCAACAAGTCCTTGATTTCAGACACCACCAGGGGTCAGCAGAATCCCTGGAGTTATTTTAACTGACAAAAAAACACTAAATATAGTTCAAATGGGTCAAAGCAGAAAGATGACTAACAGTGGTCAGTGAATCACTGCTGCTTTTTCATACTTCTGTAATTGTCCTTTTCCTTTAAAATAGCGGTCTCATCCCTGTTCCACGTCCATAGCCTTACCACTCGTGAAGAACCCACTTGGACTTGGCTTTGTTGCATGGACCAGCTGGCTGCGTCAAACACCACCACCTTCCCGTCGCTCAGGGCACACCACAGTTTGGGGTTCCCATCACCCTCGGAGTCGGACGATACGCCCAGCTGTCCTGAGAATGTAAACAAAAATATTGATGAAGGTCTGGAACGCCTGAATCCACATTCTGTATGCATCTATTTCTATTGGCCCACAAGCATGGCAGAACATCTCTCACATACTGAACACGTCAATTAGATCCGACTCAAATCCAGTAAGTAGGTCATGGTTTGACTAGAGATATTTAACTATACAGTTAAGGAAACAAAACACCCTGATGAAGACTGTGAAGCTGAAAGGCATAGATTATTCTTTATTTATAATAAATATATATTTTCTAATACATCTTCTAGTTTGTTATGAGCAAAGCTAAATATCTCACACACACACACTGAAGAAGTGTAAACATTCACAGTTACACATAATGGCACGCATAGGGAACTTCTGTCAGATATCATTCATGATCTAGTAAGAAATCAATCCATATTTTCAAATACACTCCAAAACTGTTCTATTTCCTTTAACGGCGTAACATTTATTTTTCAAATCATAATAGGAAAAATAAAATAAAAAACAATAATGTGTCACATCCTCCCTTTCATGGGGAGGAGTGATGAACAGAACGGAAAGGAGGAGGGAATATGACAAACATTAATGACCTACATTTAGACCCTGAGAGCTAGGACTTCAATGGTGCTCTGTGCTGAAGCAGCACTGTTACTAATGCCTAGACGATCATGTCCAGGCCCTGTACCGTTGCCACTACCATGCCACCTTCTAATGGGATACAGATGGAACAGTCAGCGGGAAGGCCTAGAAAAACACACCACTGTCTGTAAGAGGACCAGGGGAAGGAGTAGGGATATTGTGTTAAAGAATGAAGCTGTTGTTGGTTCCCTGATGTCACTAGGTTAAGACACAGGCTCTTTTACACATAACCTTACTGTTAGTTTAGGTGCTGGGAGGATCCTTGCAGGCTAGGGCCTGTTTCTTATCTGCCCAGTCAAAACAACACGTTTTGAGACGTACTATTGAGCCTGAGAAAAAATAATGCTGATTCAAACGATTTATGTTAGAAACATACGTTTCGGATGTAAAATTGAAGTCAGACTTTAACACATCTCATTGTGTAATACAAGTCTGTGTAATATAATATAAACGTTTGTGGTTTGAGTAGGAAGAACAATTTCAGTGATTCTATTGCGACTACTGTATGACTCTACTATCAGTAATCAGCGCATGAAACTAAGGATGAAACTAAGGAACACAACAGGAAGTGGTTGGTGGTGATGCGTTGGGAAAATCTGTGTCTCATTATTTGTTTAAGAGGCAGTAACAAACCTCGGAACCAAAACCGCCTCTGGTCAAGCCTCCTCCTGTAACTCCACACTGACACCATCACACTGACACTGTCCTAGCTGCAGTAGCATGCAGCAGTGTGACAGACCTGGGTTCAAATACTACTTTAAATAATTGTAAATACTTTAGCTGTGCTTGATTGAGCTTGCCTGTTGCAATGGAACCAGTAGAACAATCCCAAGAGTTCAAACCCCGCCCACCTGACACTCCAGGCAGATTAAAGCAAATGCACAAAGTATTTGAAAGATTTCAAATAGTATTTGAACCCAGGTCTGGAGTGTGACATATTTAGATTTTACGTCATTTAGCAGACGCTCTTATCCAGAGCGACTTACAGTTAGTGAATACATATTTTTTGTATACTGGCCCCCCGTGGGAATCGAACCCACAACCCTGGCGTTGCAAACGCCATGCTCTATCAACTGAGCTACATCCCTGCCGGCCATTCCCTCCCCTACCCTGGACGACGCTGGGCCAATTCTGGATTCGAACCAGGATCTCTAGTGGCACAGTTAGCACTGCGATGCAATGCCTTAGACCACTGCGCCACTCAGGAGCACGGGGGACCAGCACATATGTTACTAGGACACAGGCAGGACACAGGCAACATGATTCTTGTGTGTTGTTGTCGCGCAATACTGTACCTCGACTGCAGAACACAGATTTGAGGTCTACTACCATTTAAGTAATGATCTGAGGAGTAGTGTCTGTGAAGGTATGTGGGATGTCCTAGACTGGAGGAGAGTGAGGGTTGAATAGGAAATACCAGCAGCACCTACTTGATCTACTGAGAATACTGTAGGGTGTTTATAGTACTGGGAAATCATACAACAGATATGTAGTGTTACCAGTTTGTTGAACAGGAACTAAATGGTGTCTGATGTCAGCTCTAGTTTGACGCTCCACGTCATAATGTCACCTTCCCTTGAGACTGACAGTGTGCCATAAGGGTTTACCTGGGGTGTAGAGCAGAACATCTACCGCCTGGGGGCTAGTCAGGTCCAGAGATGGGTTGATCTTGTGTTTCAGGGTCTCTGACGTGGTTTTGGGCACCATCATTGGCACTGCTCAGGATGGACAGACAGGTCAGAGGTCAACGTTTGAATTGAACATCTCCTGAGAAGCAAGACACTGTTATAAACATGCACTTTCTGCTAATAATTTCAATAACCTACTGCACAGAACATCGCTTCAGATTGTTTTTGTATCTTCTGTTTTTTTTTTACCCTGTTTATTTTTGTCATGCTAAAAGATTAACTTTGGCATACCTTCCAGTTTCATTCTGTCAAAGTGTGCCAACTTGGTTGCAGCAAAAATTGCCTTTTGTGACTGCAGACAGCCAACCACTGCATCCATCAACAGGGCATTGGTCAGAGCCTGCTGCATATACTGGGGGTCCTGAGAGAGAGAGAGAGACAGACAAAGAGAGAGAGAGAGAGAGAGAGAGAGAGAGAGAGAGAGAGAGAGAGAGAGAGAGAGAGAGAGAGAGAGAGAGAGAGAGAGAGAGAGAGAGAGAGAGAGAGATAGACAAAGAAAGAGGGAGAGAGAGAGAGAGAGAGAGAGACATGGTGACATGGTGCTGACGTTGACATGAAAACGGTGACATGGTGCTGACGTTGACATTAAAACGGTGACATGGTGCTGACGTTGACATGACAACAGGGAGAAAAGGATGAGTAGAATGCAACACGTCTCTACGGCCAGGAGTTTGTAAACAGACAAACTGGCTCTTACACTTATAGTAACTCCATGGCATCTGAACCATGCATTGGTGGAGGCTAGCCTGGCGCCAGATCTGTTTGTGCTGTCTTGCAAACTCCTTGTCTAGTCATTTTCATGCCAGGACAGCACAAACAGATCTGGGGCTAGGCTTGGTGAAGGGAGCAAGGGATGAGGACTTAATAAAAAGAAAGACAGAAAAGGACCCTGGGAAATGCAGTCTTTCCAGTGATAACAGAGAAGAAGACAATATATGAGTGAGATGGGCCAGAAGTGTCCATTTTATTTCATGCAGTTTAATAGCAGAAACTGAAGGCTGGAAAGTAGTGGAGACTTTTGCCTGGCTGAACAATAGAGTCAAGCCCGTATGGAACTCCCCAGCTCCCCCTCTTCCATGGAATGTCAACCACACCCACTGAGCTACAGTACAGTCTGCCAGAGAGGCCCAGGGTGGCATCAGGAAAGGTTTAAGTGCTAACGTTGGCCATCACATCTGTGCTGCTAAAAGCAAAACTCCTCTCATAGTGTACATACTGGGCATACATTAATACATAGTCAGATGCCGAGAGAGAGAGACAGAGAGAGAGAGAGAGAGAGAGAGAGAGAGAGAGAGAGAGAGAGAGAGACAGAGACAGAGACAGAGACAGAGACAGAGACAGAGACAGAGACAGAGACAGAGACAGAGACAGAGACAGAGACAGAGAGGGAGATACAGAGAGACAGAGAGAGAGAGAGAGAGATAGATACAGAGAGACAGACAGAGAGAGACAGAGAGAGAGAGAGAGAGAGAGAGAGAGAGAGATGCTACGTCCCAATTATCTCTCCTTCCTCCCAAAGTGTGCATTTGTTCACTTCTATTCACTAATTTCAAAGGAAATGACAGGTATAAGAAAAACTGTAGAAACTCCCACTAGCCCATGCCTCCACCAATCCAATGCTTAGATTTGTGGGAAGTAGTGAACGAGTGCACACTTTAGGAAACGTGAAACTATTGGGACAGGGATTAACCGGAAGTTTAAAGTCACATTTTGACATCCTACCTTGTGGTCGTCGGCCATCTTCCGTCCGGCCCACATCTCCTTAACCATGAGGTGCCAGAGGTCAACCTCTGACTTCAGGTTGACCTCAAATGTCTCTTTCCTCAGGGTGGTCTTGATCTTCAGAGACGGGATCCTCAGCAGCAGGAAGGGAGCCGAGGAGATCTTCACCTCCTGAGGTACAACAGCCAACTGGTTACTCACAATTCACTACCTTTATTTTAGCAGGGAGTCCCACTGAGAACAAGGTCTCCTTTTCAAGGGAGCCCTGCATCTCAACACATTACACAACCATTAGCCAGGTCCCAGATCTGTTTGTGCTGTCTTGTCAACTATAGCCTGGTCCCAGATCTGTTTGTGCTGTCTTGCCAACTATAGCCTGGTCCCAGATCAGTTTGTGTTGTAAAGACCTATGGTTGTAACTCCTATGGTTGTAAAGACCACCGATCTGGGACCAGGCTTATTTTTTCACCTAACACCATCTTCGACTTATTCATATTTCTAATAGAATACTTGGTAACAATTTGTATAATGGTCCATAAAGCCATGTATCTATAGTGCCTCATGATAACGGTACATGGCATACACTGTGCTATGGAGTCGATCCAGTCGTTTACATTAGCTGTACACATCATAAACATTACTTTGTTTGTCTGTTTTATAGCTTAATGTATTCATATAGTAATCTCTATCAAAAAGTCTACTATCATGAATGATATACGGTATATCACATGAAGTGTAGTAGGAACGTAGATGCGGAAGGTCCTAACTCACCTCAATGTCTCTGAACTTGGTTACCTCCACGTACCCGGGTCGTCCTACGGTCAGCAGGAACAGTCGTCTCTGGGTCATGGCGATCTTGCCCACACCGTGGCTGGTCTTGACCGAAGAGGACAGCTTGAAGACACACTCGTTAGCCTCCAAGTGCTCCAGGACCGAGGCCGGCAGGGCCACTTCCTGAGCCTCGGCCTCCGTCTCTTTCCAGAAGGTGTAGAACACTCGGAAGAGCTCTGGATCCACCTGTTTTTGCTGGCCTGCAGGGGGCAGTCTGGGGTTAGGATCGAAAAATTCCTGAAACCAGCATTTCTGGGACAATATAGGCATTTGGTCAGTTTAAAGTTACTATACTTCACAATGATTTCAGAAGGTTCTAGCATGGAAAAGAGAAGCTAGCAGGGTTGGGGAAGGAGTTACAGGAACAACATTACACAGCCTTGTTTTGGTTGGCTTGTGGAGCAAGTCCATGGTGTGTGGGTTCACTGGAGCAAGAGACTCACACACTCCACATGTACAGTATGAAGAGTAATGTGAGGTACTAAACACACACTTCCACAAGGCAACTCACAGTCCAATGGACCATTGTACGATACAGCGGAGTCAGAGTCCTGTTTGTAACAGAGCCAATAGAACACATAGGCTGAATTCTATTTTGTCATTCAAAACCAAGACTTCAAGTGAGGAAGCAAAGGAAATGATTAACCAGACTTCAGCCTTGAAGGCATGCTATGTGTGGGTGTGCTTGAAGCTGCACACAGGTTGGGAACCAAACACTAATCTTAAATGCGATCAGATTTAAGACCTGAGGGGATAGTTTATTAAGCAGAATGAACAAAGGCCAAAGCAGCACACACACACACACACACACACACACACACACACACACACACACACACACACACACACACACAGCAGGGTTGGAGATGGGAACAGCACATCATGCTATGCTTACTTTCCAGATTGGAATTAAGGTAAAATACAGACAGGGAAGAAGCCTTCACCGCAGAGTCACAACCTTGACAATCCAAGCCGCTCTTACAACATTCTGATGGGGGGGGGGGATTCAATAGACAGATGAATTAGCATGGCCATTCACTACAGGTATTAAGGTATTAACACATCAATCACAGGGACTGGGGTGGTTACGGAGTAGTGGCCAAGTATTATCAACTGGATTATGTTCATGATGAGTCCCATACAACAAGGGGCTAATGTAAAACCATCACAAAATGGGTGGAAAATCAAGACTGGCATAAACACACGTCCCTTGGTGAAGACACCCTTCACCAAGAAAGAGACAACCCTCTCTCCTTTACCCTCACTCATTATTTCCTTCTTTCTAAGCTTGGAGTCTGTGTGACTTCCTTACCCACAGTGAGAGCCTCAAACAGCCGGTGAATGGTCGCTTGGTCCTTGACAATCCCAGACTCCTGCACGTGCCTCACAAAGTCCTCCAACTGCATGTGCTTTTTCGGCAGCTGGAACCGCTTGACACCTTCGTCGTCATGGCACGCCCGCTCCCTCTCGTGGTCCCTCTTCACTCGACTAATCAGACGTTTGATCTCGGTTCGGCGGTTAGCTTGTGCCCGTTCCCCATCCTGTAGAGAGTCCACCAGTGCGTTGACCAGCTCGCCAGGGAAGATGTCCGTGTCTGTCTTGTAAAGGTTCTGAAAGTCTTCCAGAGCGTCCAGACGTTTACCAGCCACGGTGTTGACAAAGCCTCGGAGGTAGTGGTAGCAGGCCAGGAGAGAGGAGTCCTCGGAGGCCACCCCGCTGATGGCCTTGCCCAGGAGGGTGATCATCTCCTGGTAGTAATTCTGGACGTAGTGGTAGGCCAGCGGTGGAGGGAACTCAGGAAGCTTGAAGCATCTCACTGGCTTCTGGGGAGACTTCAGACCTATTAGGGTTCGATCACAAAGGTTTTAAGAACTGAGAACAGCATTTCTTAGACGAAACCTTAAAGCAGTTGGCCAATCGTCCTTGGTTGGATCTTAAAGGTGGCAAACTCAATAGTAGTGGTCAACTACAACAGGGTTTCTCAACTTAGGTCCTGGGGAGTACCCCGTGTGTGCAGGTCTTCACCTCAACCACTTAACACTCATACTAAAACCACTCAATCTAAATTCAGAAATCACAAAAGATAACTATTCGCATCGACAAGTACCGCACACCTGAACCTACAGTTGTCCATCTGAATTTACCGCTGTCCACCTGAACCTACAACCTACAGCTGTCCACCTGAACCTCCAACCTACTGCTGTCCACCTGAACCTACAATCTACTGCTGTCCACCTGAACCTCCAACCTACTGCTGTCCACCTGAACCTACAACCTACCGCTGTCCACCTGAACCTACAACCTACTGCTGTCCACCTGAACCTACCGTTGTCCACCTGAACCTACAACCTACTGCTGTCCACCTGAACCTCCAACCTACTGCTGTCCACCTGAACCTCCAACCTACTGCTGTCCACCTGAACCTACAACCTACTGCTGTCCACCTGAACCTCCAACCTACTGCTGTCCACCTGAACCTACAACCTACTGCTGTCCACCTGAACCTACCGTTGTCCACCTGAACCTACACCTACTGCTGTCCACCTGAACCTACAACCTACTGCTGTCCACCTGAACCTCCAACCTACCGCTGTCCACCTGAACCTACAACCTACTGCTGTCCACCTGAACCTACGTCCCCTAACCTAAACCTACCGCTGTCCACCTGAACCTACAACCTACCGCTGTCCACCTGAACCTCCAACCTACCGCTGTCCACCTGAACCTACAACCTACCGCTGTCCACCTGAACCTCCAACCTACTGCTGTCCACCTGAACCTACCGCTGTCCACCTGAACCTCCAACCTACTGCTGTCCACCTGAACCTACAACCTACTGCTGTCCACCTGAACCTACCGTTGTCCACCTGAACCTCCAACCTACTGCTGTCCACCTGAACTGCTACAACCTACTGCTGTCCACCTGAACCTCCAACCTACTGCTGTCACCACCCTAACCTACTCACCAACCTACCGCTGTCCACCTGAACCTCCAACCTACTGCTGTCCACCTGAACCTCAACCACGCTGTCCACCTGAACCTCAACCTACGCTGTCCACCTGAACCTCCAACCTACCGCTGTCCACCTGAACCTACCGCTGTCCACCTGAACCTCCAACCTACTGCTGTCCACCTGAACCTCCAACCTACCGCTGTCCACCTGAACCTCCAACCTACCGCTGTCCACCTGAACCTCCAACCTACTGCTGTCACCTGACCTCCACCTGTACCACCTACCACGCTGTCCACCTGAACCTCCAACCTACCTGTCACTGACCACCGCTGTCCACCTGAACCTCAACCTACGCTGTCCACCTGAACCTCCAACCTACCGCTGTCCACCTGAACCTCAACCTACCGCTGTCCACCTGAACCTCACCTACTGCTGTCCACCTGAACTCCACTACCGTGTCCACCTGAACCTCACCTACTGCTGTCCACCTGAACCGCCAACCTACTTGCTGTCCACCTGAACCTCCAACCTAACCGCTTCCACCTTAACCCCCAACCTACCGCTGTCCACCTGAACCTCCAACCTACCGCTGTCCACCGAACTACACCCTACTGCTGTCCACCTGAACCTACCGTTGTCCACCTGAACCTCTAACCTACCGCTGTCCACCTGAACCTCCAACCTACCGCTGTCCACCTGAACCTACAAACTACCGCTGTCCACCTGAACCTACAACCTACCGCTGTCCACCTGAACCTCCAACCAACTGCTGTCCACCTACCACTGTCCACCTGTATCTTCTTGAGGGAGGTATACATGAGGGGCCCCACCAGGGACCTCACACCCTCCCCCAGGTTGGGCAGGCTGGCCCCCAGCCTCTTGCTGAGCCGGCTCTCTGGGCTGGTGTATTTACGGGCCAACTCCTGCATGGTGGGCCGTCGCGGAGACTCTGTCATGGACCTCAGCCTGGGGAAGAGGACAGTGGTGTAGGGAGAAGTTGCCCTTAGTTGCTGATCTTAGGTCATTTTAGCATTTCCCCCGCTAATGCTTAAGGTTAGGATTGGGGGAGGGGAAGCCAATCCTAGATCTGTACCTAGGGGAAACGTCACCCCGGAGTGAGGATAGACGTCAGGGGAAAGGCTGTGCTTATACCAGGAATGGACCAACTTGGGATGTGTGTATGAAGATACAGTACTGCAGTGTTTCCCAATCCTGGTCCTGAGTACCCAAACGGGTGCACATTTTTGTTTTTTGCCGCAGCACTAACACACATGATTCTAGTAAAAGGATTGCTGATGAGTTGATTAGTTGAATCAACGATTTGAAACCAAATTAAAATCCTACTGAAACCCATTACATTTGCAATAATGGTCAAAATAAACTCTTTACTAGTTTAAAGGTAAAGATTTATGCTAAACTCTTGTCTTTCCTTCTCACCTGTAAGCTTCTGTCCGAGTACTCAGCTCCATGCGCGTGAACGCGTCCATCTTCCTGTTCAGACGATCCCGTAGGAATGAGTGGAAGATGTGTGTGTCCAACACCTGCAAAGAAGACAAAATACACTGCGTTCACTTTCAATTGGACAGGTAAAAAAAACAGGTATTGAAAAAAGTTAAATATGTCCTAAATATTGTAGGTTCAAACAGATTGATGTGTGTCTTAATGAATAGGTTTTAGTCGTACCTTCTTGAAAAATGGCTGGTCTGCTGGTTCTCTAGACCTGAGGAACTCTTCACTGTTGAAGACTCTGTGTTCGTAGTTGAGGTGATCGTGGACTTCTCTGTGGGGGGGTGCGGTGGCAGTGGTGGTGGTCGGGGTGAGGTGGGGGGTGGGAGTGGGGGTGATGGGAGTGGGGGTGAGGTTGAGAGTACATTTACATTTACATTTTAGTCATTTAGCAGACGCTCTTATCCAGAGCGACTTACATATTATTATTATTATTTTTATTTTTTTATACTGGCCCCCTGTGGGAAACGAACCCACAACCCTGGCGTTGCAAACGCCATGCTCTATCAACTGAGCTACATCCCTGCCGGCCATTCCCTCCCCTACCCTGGACGACGCTGGGCCAATTGTGCGCCGCCCATGAGTCTCCCGGTCGCGGCCGGCTGCGACAGAGCCTGGATTCGAACCAGGATCTAGTGGAACAGTTTTGCACTGCGATGCAGTGCCTTAGACCACTGCGCCACTCAGGAGCTATGCGAGTAATAATCACTGGATTAGCTTGCCTGTCCTGATATTGAACAGGAAATTACTGTGATTTTGCACAGGAAATTGCAGTTGTATTGGTTTTAATAAAGCAGGATTTTTGTTTCACGTTTCAACGTTTATTCGCAGCATGCACAGGATACAACAGGTGTAAAACAGTACAGGGAAATTCTTACCTTGGGAGATCTTTACAGCAATGCAGTGATAATAATATAGACAATCATTGAAAATAACAGAAAATAGAAAGGAAAAAATGCAGAAGTAGAATTTAATAGGATAACTAACAGTGTTGTTCAAATGTCTAAATAAATCAATATCCATTTGATAATCATCAAGCTTTGGTCCAATCAAATACGTATAACTAGATACTGTGTGCTCAATTTGAGTCTCAATTATCAAAGTAACATAAATAAATGTAAATTAGATTATAATATTGTAACAACTATGTAATAATATTATAATAATCATGTCAATGTTTTGTCCTAGTGAACGACAGTAAACGAAAACATAGTATAGCTGTCATGCTAATCTCGGTTAGCCCAGAACTCAAATGTAGCATAATTTGGTCAGATGCTCGGTACCATTTATGTTTCCGTAGTCTGTCCACAAGAGATGAGTTTCATGCTGACCTGAAGATGTTGACGATGAGTTCCAGAGTGATGTTCTGGATGTGTGTGTTGAGTTTCCTCTGCCACTGCCTCCTCTGGGCCCTCAGGTCGTTGACGTCTGTACTGGCCCCCAGGTGACACACCTCCAGGTCATAGTGCATCTGGAGACCCTCCGCCCTGCACAGACAGACAGACAGACAGACACACACACACACACACAGACACACAGACACACACAGACAGACACACACAGACAGACACACACAGACAAACACACACAGACAGACACACACACACACACACACACAGAGAGACACACACGCATAAAACCCCCTTCCCCTATTTATAACAATCCATGTTGTTTCCAGAGCAACGGACAAATAGGACAGCAAACTAACTGGCTGCGTTTACGCACGCAGCCCAATTCTGATCTTTTGCCCAATTATTGGCAAAAAACCTGATCTGATTGGTCAAAAGACCAGAATTGGGCTGCGTGTGTAAACGTATCAACCGAGTGTCTTGTCCTCTAGGTCATATTCATTAGGCACCAAGTGAAAGAAAAGAGACTGAAACAGGGAGGGACAGCCTGATCTTGTCCAATAAGAAATGTTCATTTCCATTTTCCGTTGCAAAACATTTTGCTACGGCGTGCCCTAATGAACATGCCCCAGATCCTTTCCTGTCCTACCGTGTTAGAAAACACTCTCTAGCCGCCAGCGGGATGTCCGGCAGGTCAACCCCGCCGGACCAGGAAGACGACATGGTCCCATCATCAATATTAACCAGAATCAGATCATCTGTTTCCTGTAAGGCCAGGGGAAACAAAACCACACAGTAAAACACAACACTCTGTCCCTCTTAGAGAACACACTGTAATGGAGGAGAACAACGGATTAGGGTCGAGTCAGGAAGGTGAGCTCAAATTAACTGGACTTTCTGTTAACTTCTGTCCTGTATGTCAGTTAGGATATTGAACCACATGATCCTCTATACTGTGTAAAGCAAGTAGAAATGCTGATAAATGATAAAGCATGATAAATCTGTTTATTAAATAATAAATAAATCACTGATGCGAGGAACATTGACAGACAGTGCTGGTGCCATTCTTACCGTGGCTACCTCCTGTAGTGGTGCAGGTAGCAGCCCATGAGGTAAGATAACAGAAGAGAAGATGTACTTTATTGTCCATTAAAACGAAAATGTGTCTTTATGCACAACCCAAACCCCCGAAAAACACACACAAACCCAGTGGGGCTGGAAGCAATGGGTCAGCAGCAATGCAGCGCCCCTGGAGCAATCATATATTAAAAAGTGCCTTGCTCAAGGGCTCAGCGGCAGGCGATGGTACCCAGGATGATCACAGCAACCCTCCTTTTGCCCGGCTGACTCTGCACACGTCTGAGCTGGGATTCAAACCGGCAACCGCTTCTCTAACCACTAGGCTATCTTCCGCCCCAGGTAGGGGTCATTATCACTATAACTGTCCCTACCTGATCATGCTACAGTATTCTATTCTAGCATGGCTACATAGTGATATCCATCCTTACCGCGGCCACCTCTTCATAGTGGTCCAGGTGACAGCCCATGAGGTAGGCGGTGGGCGCCATGAGGAAGTCCAGCATCTGGCTTGAGAGGACGGGCACGAAGGGGTGCTGCCACACCAGGGGGTGGATGAAGTGCATCAGGCTCTCTGCCATTAGGGTGAGCTGTGCCCAGTCACAGGACAACAGTACTACTCTCTGCTCTGTCAGCAGGCTGGTAATGATCTGATGAGATCCAGAAAGAAAGACAGACAGGCAGACAGACAGGCAGACAAGAGGTAACATGGATATCAGTCCTGGGTTCAAATACATGTGTATTTTATTATTTTTTATTTAAATACTTATTTTCGGTGTATTCAAGTATTTTCTAATAATGTGGCCCGAATCAACTACTTCTATTGAAAGCATTTTCTAATAATTTCCTATTTATAAGCCTACTATTTGAAAGTATTTTCAAATACTTATTTCCAAATACATTATTTCAAATGCCAAACAAACCTGGTTCAAATGCCTGGGAGTATTTAAGTATTTGTATAAATACTGTGTATTTGAGTATTTTCAAATACATGCTAATACTTTCCAAATGTATTTCCAAATATATTCCAACATTCAACTAGTTGTGTTTTTTCAAATAAAAAAAATATCTAAATACTTACTTCCAAATGACTTTGAAAGTACTTGAAATTGTCACGAATTCAGCCGAGGCTGCCCCTCCTCCTTGCTCGGGCAGGTTTCGGCGTTCGTCGTCACCGGCTTACTAGCCACTACCGCTCCATTTATCATCACTCCATTTGTCTTGTCTTGTCAATCACACACACCTGGTTCTTATCCCCTCATTAGTCTGTGTATAAGTGTTCCCTCTGCCCCCTTGTCCTTTGTGAGTGATTGTTCATTGTGAGAGTGAGTAGCTTGGTTGAGCTACTCTTGCCTTGTATGTAGCCAAGGTGGATTTTTCCCTTGTGCTAGTTTCGTTTTGACGCTTACTGCGCTTTATTCATGTATACTGAATAAACTCTGGATTTCTGTGTTTTACCTCCTGCGCCTGACTCCGTCATTCACACCTCATCACAGAAATACCCTAAATCGTATTTGAACCCAGGTCTGATTGATATAGACATGTCTTTTACTATTCAAAACAGATGGACAGAAACATACTGTACATTTGCACATTATCACATTCCCACAGTCTTTTAGTCTCTCTAATTGCATTGAAAGAAAATATAATGTAGTGGGGGTTAGGCAGTTTTGTGGCTGTATAATCCGTGTGTCTGTACTCACTTGGAGGAGCTGTCGGGGTCTAAAGCAAAGGAAAGGCAGATGGAGGTCGAGGTCAACAGCCGGCCTGTCCTTATCCTCCCGGGAGGGAAGCACAATCTGGAGAGGCCTCAGACTAAAGACCTGGGACAGAACAGGCAGAGGAATACAGATAGTTAAACTATACTAGTTGAAAGTCAAACACTTAACAATACAACACACTACATAAACATACAATAGATTAAGGTTGGGCCCATAGATTCTAAGTGGAGCAACGCTATTGGCAAAATGCCCATGCTTGGTTTTACGGTTTATCCTTAACATGATATCCACTGTTAAATAATGCCCGTAAATCATAGAGGGAGACAATTGGCTCACCACATGCAGTTGCCCAGGTGGAGGTATGGGCACCAGCGACAGCTTGGCTGAAAACTCCTTCACCCTCTCCTCAAAGTCCCCCATCCAGCTGGGCTTGAGCTGGGTCAAGAGACTGAGCACACACCCATTAGAGGGACACCATACAGTAAAAACATGAACATACAGGTCAATAGGTGTCTAAGATGAGTTGGACTGATGCCTTTATAACGATGGCCCACATCTGGCATGTATTTATTGTGATAACATGTAGTCTACTGTTTTGTATTCTCGTTCGGTATTTACTTGAACACAAAGAAAGACCTTGAGGAGTAAAAGGATGGTGAGAGGATGGTGAATTTGTTCTCACCATGACAGGCAGTCCCTGAGAGCGTTGTAGTAAGGGTATTTAGAGATGACACAGATGCCGTATGCCGTGTAGAGACGGGACGACTTGGAGGACAACCGGTGGCCATTTTGGTGCCCACCATCCTGAGAGAACTGGGACGCAAGCAAACGACCAATCAGAGAGCAATGTTTTCCACATTGACCAATGACAGTGAAATGACTATTCATGTGGCTGTAGACTGTGTTTCTATTCCATGTGTCCTTCTACATTCCCATATCAGCATGTGTCCTTCTACATTCCCATATCAGCATGTTCCTTCTACATTCACATAGCAGCATGTGTATTTACATTCACTACAATTCACTGCAGCATGTGTTCCTTCTACATTCACATAGCAGCATGTGTATTTCTACATTCACATAGCAGCATGTGTCCTTCTACATTCACATAGCCAGCCACATAGCAGCATGTGTCCTTCTACATTCACATAGCAGCATGTGTCCTTCTACATTCACATAGCAGCATGTGTATTTCTACATTCACATAGCAGCATGTGTCCTTCTACATTCACATAGCAGCATGTGTCCTTCTACATTCACATAGCAGCATGTGTCCTTCTACATTCACATAGCAGCATGTGTATTTTCTAACACATGGCCTTTACACATAGCAGCATGTCGGTGTCCTTCTACATTCACATAGCAGCATGTGTTATGTGTCCTTCTACATTCACATAGCAGCATGTGTCCTTCTACATTCACATAGCAGCATGTGTATTTCTACATTCACATAGCAGCATGTGTCCTTCTACATTCACATAGCAGCATGTGTATTTCTACATTCACATAGCAGCATGTGTCCTTCTACATTCACATAGCAGCATGTGTATTTCTACATTCACCTAGCAGCATGTGTCCTTCTACATTCACATAGCAGCATGTGTCCTTCTACATTCACATAGCAGCATGTGTCCTTCTACATTCACAGAGCAGCATGTGTCCTTCTACATTCACAGAGCAGCATGTGTCCTTCTACATTCACAGAGCAGCATGTGTCCTTCTACATTCACAGAGCAGCATGTGTCCTTCTACATTCACATAGCAGCAAATGTAAAAGTCTACAAATGTACAAAAAAAACATGGACTTAAAACATGGATCTAAAACATGGATCTAAAAAGGCCAATGTTTAAAAGACATCTTTGTTTTGCTGATGAACATGCTTATGTCCATCCAATCTTAAGCCCCTCTGTCTTCAAATGATAAACCATTCTGTATTGAAGAAGGTAAAGCATTCCAGTGCGCATGGATAAAGCTCAGCTGGTGAGCCGTCCCACCTGTATAGGCCTGTAGTACTGCACCACTACGGCATGTGTCCTGTTCCCGAAGACATCAGTAAACACCAGGTAATGGTACGAGTCTTCTCTCTGCTCGCTGGCTATCTGAAGACCCCCTGGCCAATGGAAGAAAGCAGACACAAGACCTCATATAAGAGGAATTATAAACTGGGTGGTTCAAGCCCTGAATGCTGATTGGCCGACAGCCGTGGTATATCAGACCGTATACCACGGGTATGACAAAACATTTATTTTTACTGCTCTAATCACGTTTATAATAGCAATAAGGCACCTCGGGGGGGTTAGTGGTATATGGCCTATATACCACGGCTAAGGGCTGTGTACAGGCACTCTGCGTTGCGTCGTGCTTAAGAACAACCCTTAGCCGTGATATATTGGCCATATACCACACCCCCTCGTGCCTTATTGCTTAATCGCACGACACATACACCTTTGGTGGTGAAGATGACAAATCTGGAGTTCTGAACATGCTCCTTTAATCATTAATACGTAGTGCTATGGTGTAGTGTGTGTGTTGACCTAGTCTAGGTGTTAGGTAGTGTTTCACTGAGGATGGGTCTAGCCGAAATCAAAACGGCGACTTCTAGTCATCACGCTGTGTCACCTGGGAAGCAGAGCTGAGGCAGGGCGATGAGGTCCAGGTCCTTGGGGACACTGATGTCCTCTGTGGTGCCACCCCCTCCATCGATTCCCTTGGCTGCCTCTCCATTAGCCGTACAAGGCCTCTCCATCTTCTTCTTGATGAAGGAGCGCCTCCTCTGGACCCTGGTGAAGGCCGGGGCGTGACCCTGACCTTTGGTCTCACTACTCACACTCTCCTTGGTCACAAAGGGTGGGGCGTGCACCTGCAGTACCTCCACCTCCAACAGGGGGAGCTCTTTGATTTTGGCCTGCTGATGTGACTGGCAGGAAGGGGAAACAATGCATTATATCATATACAGGCCTACAGTTGGGGAAAAAAGTATTTAGTCAGCCACCAATTGTGCAAGTTCTCCCACTTAAAAAGATGAGAGAGGCCTGTAATTTTCATCATAGGTACACATCAACTATGACAGACAAATTGAGGAAAAAAAATCCAGAAAATCACATTGTAGGATTTTTAATGAATTTATTTGCAAATTATGGTGGAAAATAAGTATTTGGTCACCTACAAACAAGCAAGATTTCTGGCTCTCACAGACCTGTAACTTCTTCCTTAAGAGGCTCCTCTGTCCTCCACTCGTTACCTGTATTAATGGCACCTGTTTGAACTTGTTATCAGTATAAAAGACACCTGTCCACAATCTCAAACAGTCACTCTCCAAACTCCACTATGGCCAAGACCAAAGAGCTGTCAAAGGACACCAGAAACAAAATTGTAGACCTGCACCAGGCTGGGAAGACTGAATCTGCAATAGGTAAGCAGCTTGGTTTGAAGAAATCAACTGTGGGAGCAATTATTAGGAAATGGAAGACATACAAGACCACTGATAATCTCCCTCGATCTGGGGCTCCACGCAAGATCTCACCCCGTGGGGTCAAAATGATCACAAGAACGGTGAGCAAATATCCCAGAACCACACGGGGGGACCTAGTGAATGACCTGCAGAGAGCTGGGACCAAAGTAACAAAGCCTACCATCAGTAACACACTACGCTGCCAGGGACTCAAATCCTGCAGTGCGAGACGTGTCCCCCTGCTTAAGCCAGTACATGTCCAGGCCCGTCTGAAGTTTGCTAGAGTGCATTTGGATGATCCAGAAGAGGATTGGGAGAATGTCATATGGTCAGATGAAACCAAAATAGATATTTTTGGTAAAAACTCAACTCGTTGTGTTTGGAGGACAAAGAATGCTGAGTTGCATCCAAAGAACACCATACCTACTGTGAAGCATGGGGGTGGAAACATCATGCTTTGGGGCTGTTTTTCTGCAAAGGGACCAGGACGACTGATCCGTGTAAAGGAAAGAATGAATGGGGCCATGTATCGTGAGATTTTGAGTGAAAACCTCCTTCCATCAGCAAGGGCATTGAAGATGAAACGTGGCTGGGTCTTTCAGCATGACAATGATCCCAAACACACCGCCCGGGAAACGAAGGAGTGGCTTCGTAAGAAGCATTTCAAGGTCCTGGAGTGGCCTAGCCAGTCTCCAGATCTCAACCCCATAGAAAATCTTTGGAGGGAGTTGGAAGTCCGTGTTGCCCAGCGACAGCCCCAAAACATCACTGCTCTAGAGGAGATCTACATGGAGGAATGGGCCAAAATACCAGCAACAGTGTGTGAAAACCTTGTGAAGACTTACAGAAAACGTTTGACCTGTGTCATTGCCAACAAAGGGTATATAACAAAGTATTGAGAAACTTTTGTTATTGACCAAATACTTATTTTCCACCATAATTTGCAAATAAATTCATTAAAAATCCTACAATGTGATTTTCTGGAAAATGTTTCTCATTTTGTCTGTCATAGTTGACGTGTACCTATGATAAATTACAGGCCTCTCTCATCTTTTTAAGTGGGAGAACTTGCACAATTGGTGGCTGACTAAATACTTTTTTCCCCCACTGTACATATGACGTGTATGACTATGTGTCATATGATTAATAGGATGTGGTGGTATCCTAAGCCCACAAAAATCAATGTATTGCAAAACCAACAGTGTATGTCCCCTTTTGATTGAGTCAGCTGTACCTACCTGATAGAGTTCCCTGAGTTTATCGCTGGCTGCTCCAACCACCACACAAGCCTCCAGCAGTCCAGAGGGAATATGTGCCATCAGAGACAACAGCAGAGCTGGCCGGACACCAACGACACACACACACACACACACACACACACACACACACTGCCAGCTACAGCTGTCTGGCTACAGCATTGTCTTCTGTTCTGAGTCCAATAGGTGGCGTCACTCCTACGCAACACTCCTCCTGTACGATGTTAGTTCAACCAAGTGTGAACAGAGTCGCACTGTCTGACGTAAGACAATGGTGTCTGTCTACAGTCCATACATCCAGATTAGAGTCAGAATGATAGTTCTCCTGCTTCTCCTCCTCTTCTTCCACCACTTTCTTCACCTCCACAGGACATGTCTGGATCAGATCCAACCACCTAAAGGAAAGGCCCATCTCAGTAGAATCATCCGGAACATGGCCTCAGGTCTAGGAAACGACAGACACAGACATTAGTCAGTTAGGTTGTCATTCTATAAGACACTAAGGTCTGAAAGAAGTCAGTATATAGGCCCTATAAACTAAGAGGCCTGCTTGCCTGGCCTGGTAATCACAACAAACACATTGTCATCCCACCAGATGTTGGGGCCTGATCACTCAGGCAGCTAACCACAAACCGATCATTAACATGTTTAACATGGATCCGAAGCCCAGGGGAGGAAATCAAGTATCCGTAGTTACCGTAAATTTGACAAAAAATAAAACAAAGTAAAAACCTGACGATTCACTTGGATAACTGCAAACCAGAAAGGTAAGATTTGAACCTCATAAACCACGTACAACATGTTTTCTCCATAACGTATTACTTTGCCTGCATACTTTCCTCTGTTGTTCGCGATGGTAAAAAAATTTAAATCAAGCAAAGATAGGGCTTCACTGATGTAGGTTCCAGAAAGGAGCTGGTCTGGGAGTGAAGATTTCTATGGAGATAAGAGTTTTTCCTCAGAATAAATAAGCAATGTTACACATTCCTATGTGGACTGTGTTCTGAAGCCTGAGATGGTGGTGTGGTGAATTACAATATGTCTGCATTATTCTGTCCACTTGAAGATGATGCCATGGATTTCTTCACATTTTATTGTGTTATAGTTTCTTTACATTTTATTGTGTTATAGTTTCTTTACATTTTATTGTGTTACAAAGTGGGATTAAAATGTATTTAATTGTCACTTTTTGTCAACATTCTTCACTAAATACTCTGTAATGTCAAAGTGGAAGATACAGTGGGGAAAAAAAGTATTTAGTCAGCCACCAATTGTGCAAGTTCTCCCACTTAAAAAGATGAGAGAGGCCTGTAATTTTCATCATAGGTACACGTCAACTATGACAGACAAATTGAGAAGAAAAAAATCCAGAAAATCACATTGTAGGATTTTTAATGAATTTATTTGCAAATTATGGTGGAAAATAAGTATTTGGTCACCTACAAACAAGCAAGATTTCTGGCTCTCACAGACCTGTAACTTCTTCTTTAAGAGGCTCCTGTCACGCTCTGGCTCCGGGACTCTGTATGTTGAGCCAGGGTGTGTTCGTTCTGTGTGGGTTGTTTCTAGGTTGGGTGTTCTAGGTTGTTGTTTTCTGTGTTGGCCTAAGTGACTCCCAATCAGAGGCAACGAGTGTCAGCTGTTTGCTGGTTGTCTCTGATTGGGAGCCATACTTAACTGTCTGTGTTTCACTTTGTGTTTGTGGGTTTTTGTTCCGTGTCGGTATGTTTAACCGTGGACTTCACGAATCGTGTTTTGTTTGTTACTTTAATTAAATAAAGTAATGTTTGTTTCACACGCTGCGCCTTGGTCTACTTCGCTACAAGACGATCGTGACAGAAAAACCCACCATACAACGACCAAGCAGCGTGTCCAGGAACACACGCAGGAGGTGACTCTGGTGGATGTCCTCCTCGGTTGGGGGCAGATTACCGAGGAGGAGGCCGTCCGGTACCGGAGGGCAATGAAGGGGGAGACCCAGGCAGGAGAGGAGCAGCGGCGTCAGCAGTGCCATCGTCGGACGGACGAGAGGCACCCCCAATAATTTTTTAGGGGGGGGCACACGGCATGGGCGACTGGGCAGCAGGAGGCTGCCACAGGGCGAAATAGGAGAAGAGGAGAGAAGGCCACCGGGTTTTGGGGGCCAGAAGGCAGGTTGGCGGAGCCTGGATGGAGAGCAGAGCCAACTCCCCGTACTCAGGCATGGCAGCATGAGACTGGGCAGGTTCCGCGGTATGCGGAGCTGCGCACTGTGCCACGAGTGGTCCGGCATAGTCCGGTACGTCCTTTGCGAGCACCCCGCACGTGTTGTGCGAAGGTGGGCATGCAGCCAGGACGGAGTGTGCCGGCTCGGCGCTCGGGGCCTCCAGTGCCTCTCCTCGGTCCCGGATATCCTGCGCCAGTATCACGTGCTGTTATGCCAGTACGGGTACACAGCCCTGTACGTCCTGTGCTGATGCCTCACACAGAGTGTGTGAAGGTAGGCATTCAGCCAGGACGGGTTGTGGCAGCTCTTCACTCCAGGTCTCCTATCCGTCTCCATAGCCCAGTCCGGCCTGTCCCTGCTCCACGCACCAAGCCTACGGTGTGCGTCGCCAGCCCTGCCCGGCCTGTCCCTGCTCCACGCACCAAGCCTACGGTGTGCGTCGACAGCCCTGCCCGGCCTGTTCCTGCTCCACGCACCAAGCCTACGGTGTGCGTCGCCAGCCCTGCCCGGCCTGTCCCTGCTCCACGCACCAAGCCTACGGTGTGCGTCGACAGCCCTGCCCGGCCTGTTCCTGCTCCACGCACCAAGCCTACGGTGTGCGTCGCCAGCCCTGTCCGGCCTGTCCCTGCTCCACGCACCAAGCCTACGGTGTGCGTCGACAGCCCTGCCCGGCCTGTTCCTGCTCCACGCACCAAGCCTACGGTGTGCGTCGCCAGCCCTGTCCGGCCTGTCCCTGCTCCACGCACCAAGCCTACGGTGTGCGTCGACAGCCCTGCCCGGCCTGTTCCTGCTCCACGCACCAAGCCTACGGTGTGCGTCGCCAGCCCTGCCCGGCCTGTCCCTGCTCCACGCACCAAGCCTACGGTGTGCGTCGACAGCCCTGCCCGGCATGTTCCTGCTCCACGCACCAAGCCTACGGTGTGCGTCGCCAGCCCTGTCCGGCCTGTCCCTGCTCCACGCACCAAGCCTACGGTGTGCGTCGTCAGCCTGGTCCAGCCCGTTCCTGCCACTCGCACCAAGCCAGGGGTGCGAGTCGTCAGCCTGGTCCAGCCCGTTCCTGCCACTCGCACCAAGCCAGGGGTGCGAGTCGTCAGCCTGGTTCAGCCCGTTCCTGCTACTCGCACCAAGCCCGGGGTGCGAGTCGTCAGCCTGGTAAGACCGGTCAGCTGCTCCACAACGGAGCGTAAGCAATCCGCTCCGTCAATGTCCAGTCCAGATCCAGCCAGCGGGGTCAGACCGGACCAGGGGCGCTATGGGGGGTTGATTGGAGGGTGGTGGGCAAGGCCGGAGCCAGAACCGCCGCCGAGGAGGTATGCCCACCCAGCCCTCCCTTGTTTAGCCCTTATTGAGGCGCGGTCGCAGTCCGCGCCTTTAGGGGGGGGTACTGTCACGCTCTGGCTCCGGGACTCTGTATGTTGAGCCAGGGTGTGTTCGTTCTGTGTGGGTTGTTTCTAGGTTGGGTGTTCTAGGTTGTTGTTTTCTGTGTTGGCCTAAGTGACTCCCAATCAGAGGCAACGAGTGTCAGCTGTTTGCTGGTTGTCTCTGATTGGGAGCCATACTTAACTGTCTGTGTTTCACTTTGTGTTTGTGGGTTTTTGTTCCGTGTCGGTATGTTTAACCGTGGACTTCACGAATCGTGTTTTGTTTGTTACTTTAATTAAATAAAGTCATGTTTGTTTCACACGCTGCGCCTTGGTCTACTTCGCTACAAGACGATCGTGACAGCTCCTCTGTCCTCCAATCGTTACCTGTATTAATGGCACCTGTTTGAACTTGTTATCAGTATAAAAGACACCTGTCCACAACCTCAAACAGTCATACTCCAAACTCCACTATGGCCAAGACCAAAGAGCTGTCAAAGGACACCAGAAACAAAATGGTAGACCTGCACCAGGCTGGGAAGACTGAATCTGCAATAGGTAAGCAGCTTGGTTTGAAGAAATCAACTGTGGGAGCAATTATTAGGAAATGGAAGACATACAAGACCACTGATAATCTCCCTCGATCTGGGGCTCCACGAAAGATCTCACCCCGTGGGGTCAAAATGATCACAAGAACGGTGAGCAAAAATCCCAGAACCACACGGGGGGACCTAGTGAATGACCTGCAGAGAGCTGGGACCAAAGTAACAAAGCCTACCATCAGTAACACACTACGCCGCCAGGGACTCAAATCCTGCAGTGCGAGACGTGTCCCCCTGTTTAAGCCAGTACATGTCCAGGCCCGTCTGAAGTTTGCTAGAGTGCATTTGGATGATCCAGAAGAGGATTGGGAGAATGTCATATGGTCAGATGAAACCAAAATAGAACTTTTTGGTAAAAACTCAACTCGTCGTGTTTGGAGGACAAAGAATGCTGAGTTGCATCCAAAGAACACCATACCTACTGTGAAGCATGGGGGTGGAAACATCATGCTTTGGGGCTGTTTTTCTGCAAAGGGACCAGGACGACTGATCCGTGTAAAGGAAAGAATGAATGGGGCCATGTATCGTGAGATTTTGAGTGAAAACCTCCTTCCATCAGCAAGGGCATTGAAGATGAAACGTGGCTGGGTCTTTCAGCATGACAATGATCCCAAACACACCGCCCAGGCAACGAAGGAGTGGCTTCGTAAGAAGCATTTCAAGGTCCTGGAGTGGCCTAGCCAGTCTCCAGATCTCAACCCCATAGAAAATCTTTGGAGGGAGTTGAAAGTCCGTGTTGCCCAGCGACAGCCCCAAAACATCACTGCTCTAGAGGAGATCTGCATGGAGGAATGGGCCAAAATACCAGCAACAGTGTGTGAAAACCTTGTGAAGACTTACAGAAAACGTTTGACCTTTGTCATTGCCAACAAAGGGTATATAACAAAGTATTGAGAAACTTTTGTTATTGATCAAATACTTATTTTCCACCATAATTTGCAAATAAATTCATAAAAAATCCTACAATGTGATTTTCTGGATTTTTTTTCCTCATTTTGTCTGTCATAGTTGACGTGTACCTATGATGAAAATTACAGGCCTCTCTCATCTTTTTAAGTGGGAGAACTTGCACAATTGGTGGCTGACTAAATACTTTTTTCCCCCACTGTATATCGTCGGGTAAGGTCGTCGGGTAAGCTTGGCTTTATACATAGTTTGGGCTTTGTCGAGTAAGGCTTAAACTATGTATTTAGATTGTAGTTAGGTATTGTAGGTAGTTATCGTG